TATATATATATATAAATAAGAAGCATTGAATGTTGTATACATACAATAATTATTCTTTTATTCTCATGTCCTAATTCCTAAAATTGACTTATATTATTATTAAAGCAGGTTGTTCTGGATTTAAGAAGCATTTTATATTTATATTATTATACTATCAACTTTTTAGTATATAAAATATAGACCAGAAAAATATTTTAAACAATTTTTTTTTAATATATTAAGATATATATAAACATTTTTTGAAATTATAAGAATTTATTAAATTTATTATTCTTGTAAATTATACATTAAGTTATTTATCAATCAAAGCTTTTATAACATAGTCTATATATAATTTTTAAACAATTATTAAAGATAATTAAATAAATATTAACCTAAAACAGCTGTTATCATAAAAAGTTAGAGATGCAGTCAAACATAAACCTGTACTCATTCATAGTACAGTACTGTATATTTAATTGAATAGTTTGAAAAGCAAAACATGTATACTATACCTAAGCATATCCTTTCTTATAAAATATATATTCTTGCTTATAAAGTATACCTGTATATGTTCTGGTATGTAAACTGTATCTACATATTTTCTTGTAAAGTATACCTGTACATATTCTTGCCTGCAAAAAAAAAAATGCAAGCATAACCCTGTACTCATTTAATTAAATATTTTATAAACCAATACATATACATTTATACATATTCTTGCTCATAAACTGTATATTTAATAAATTTATAATTATATATAAGGAGTTTAAATACATTCTACTTGAATGATATTTTTTTCTGTTTGCTCAAAACAAGTTTGGTTTGATATAAAATGAATTCCCCCCACCCAATGCATAGCTTCTATATATATAACTTATATTTAGTATTAAAAAAATATATAAATAATTTAGAATGAGTTTTAAAAATTGTTAACAATAGACTAGACAATAAAGTATCATCTTGATTTAAAATATATTTAATTTGCCTACAAGCAATCAGAACAGAACTAATAATGTAATAATCCTTGACCTTGTTTACTTTCTATTTTAATTTGTTTTAGTAATATGGAATTTTATATTCCTGTTCTAAGTCTTTGACGATAACTGTCGTCCAGTAAGCTTAAACTTTTGATGATTACTCAGCACTGACCTAATGACAACCTATTACACTGCCTACGTTTATCTATAAGTTCAGTTAAGGATCGATAAAAGTCCTTAACAGAAGAGCTAAAATTTTATATAAAGGTCAAATGTAATCCAATGGAGCTTTACGAGTCATTCCCTGAAACTATAGAAAATTATTTAATCCACTATTAGATAGAAGCTTGTTATATTTTCCCTTGTGTTTAGTACATTATAGAATTGTATAGTTATATTGATGATTTTAGAAGAATATAAACATAATGTAGTTTCAGTTATGACTTATTTAGCTTAATAAATAACTTCAAAATTCAAATCGAAAGAATGTAAGATTAGTATAATATCGTAAGCAAAAATAATCTAATTCTCTACAAAATAGTTCTTAAAATTGTAGTAAATTAATTATATAATAGCTTTATAGCGCCTCAACATTATAAATATAAAGATTTAAAGTCGTAACAAAATTAATTATATTAAAAATACTATAACAAATAACAGAGAATAATTTATACTTGAGCATAAAATCGAAGCAAAAATACTGCTTAATATGACAAAAAAAAAAACAATATAGAAAGATGCTTTATATTGTCATAACAATATAAAATAATTTATATTGTTAACAACAATCTAACTACCCAAAATAACTGTAAAATTTTACGTAAAAATAATTTAAACTACACATATAACTGATACCACGCAAAGTAACTCATGTTATAGTAAAATTTCAATATAAAAATAGTCTTTCTGTTTTTTGTTTTTGTTTTTTACTCTTTCCGCCCTGTGGGCACTAAGAGGGCAATACAGAAATAGTCGACAAAAAAATGAAAAATTGAATTTAAAAAAAAAAATTTAGTTTAATATATAAACTTAAATTATTAAAACAAATATTTCTTTTTCTTCATCTTGTGCTACCTCGTTTGAGGTCGACAACCAACAAACATCTGTTGTATGCCCGATGAAACAAAGATTCAATTTCTCTTCCAGTCCATTCCTTGAGGTTGTCTAACTACACAAATCTTTTTCTTCGTTGCTTTCGTTTTCCATTTATCTTTCCACTTATAACTAGTTGTGGGTTATGATATGTTGAATGCCTCTGGAGATATCCAAAGTATGCCAACTTCTTTTTCTATATAACTGTTGATAATTCTTTCCTTTTCTTCAGTAATTTTTCATCACTAATCCTTTATACCTTAAAATTCTTCTGTATATCCACATTCAATCGTTTTATTTCTTTCTTTTTTTAACGTTCACCCTTCATATTTACATAGTAGCGCACTCATATACAACATTTCAATACTTTAATACGTAAATTTAATATAGTAAAATTTTAAAAATATTCTACAATTTTATAATATATTTTTTAAAATTTCTTTCTACTTATAAAATAAGAATATTTATCAAAAATTATATCAGAAACTTTAACCAGAATATTGCTATTAAATTATCTTATAATTAAAATAAATATAGATATATTTTTGAATTTATCAAACCGTCTGGAATGTAATGAAAATTTATTTTTAATTAAATAATAGTAAGTTAAATTTACTTATAAATTTTAAAATTATTATTATTATTATATAAAATAACCATATAGTTATTATGCATGAATTTATGTCATGGATTGCACAATCCAACTAAGTATGACAGCCAGATGGCTGAGATAATAACAGCATCAGTCTGGTGCTCTGAGAAACAAGTATAATTCTAGGCCTAGAACATCAGATATGATTCATAGTTTATCCCTAATATGTTGAGTCCTATTCCTCACAATTCAGCCATCCCATTGTGGGCCTGGCCAAATTGAAAAAAGACCTCTCAGTACCCACAGAGTGGAAAGAATAAACTACAGAAATTCAATTCAGTGAATAGTGGATTTGATACTAAATCCTCCCAACCCAAAGTTCAGACTGAACAACACTTAGGTCTGTTCAGAAATACTTATAAGTTTAATCACTGAGACTCAAAAGTTTAAACCTATAAAGTTTCCAGTCATTTACAGGTTGCTTCCAGACACTCAATCTTAAAGGGTGGGTTAGAGAATGACCAACCAAAATACCATCATCATCATTTATTAGTACCATCAACTGTTCAGTAAGCATTTTCGAACAGACCCTTAATCAATAATTCANGAAGCATGATAATTCTGTAATTACAAATGTTGCTTAAACATTTTAAAATAATATATAATGTAAATAATAGTTTAGTTGTTTAAATTATTTTAATATGTAAAAATTATAGAATTTTGCAACTTGAAAAAATCAACAAAATAAGGAAATTGTTGATCATAAATAAATAAGTATTGCTTGAAACTTTCTTAACCAATTAATAACTACTTTTATGTTTAATAAAACTACAATATTTTCTGATTTTTTAGTAACTAAAAAAATTTTTAATATAACATTTATGAGGAAAACCTCAAAGTGGCCTCCAAATATACTGTAGTTAGATAAGGCAAAGGTTTTATTTCTTTTTTTGAATTGAGTATGCAAAAACTGATTCATATGCACCGTCTAGTCTTCTTTTTCTAGTGATTTTGTTGTTAGTTTTCATGTCTAGAAACCATTAACGCATGAATAATGTGACGTTATAAGCAAGTATTTACGTTAAAACAGATAAATGGCTATTGAATATGCTTTATAAAAAAAAATCATAGATGATATTTTAATCTGATTATATTTTTTAAAATTTAAGTATATAATATAAATTAAATCCAACAAACATCTGTTGTATGCCCGATGAAACAAAGATTCAATTTCTCTTCCAGTCCATTCCTTGAGGTTGTCTAACTACACAAATCTTTTTCTTCGTTGCTTTCGTTTTCCATTTATCTTTCCACTTATAACTAGTTGTGGGTTATGATATGTTGAATGCCTCTGGAGATATCCAAAGTATGCCAACTTCTTTTTCTATATAACTGTTGATAATTCTTTCCTTTTCTTCAGTAATTTTTCATCACTAATCCTTTATACCTTAAAATTCTTCTGTATATCCACATTCAATCGTTTTATTTCTTTCTTTTTTTAACGTTCACCCTTCATATTTACATAGTAGCGCACTCATATACAACATTTCAATACTTTAATACGTAAATTTAATATAGTAAAATTTTAAAAATATTCTACAATTTTATAATATATTTTTTAAAATTTCTTTCTACTTATAAAATAAGAATATTTATCAAAAATTATATCAGAAACTTTAACCAGAATATTGCTATTAAATTATCTTATAATTAAAATAAATATAGATATATTTTTGAATTTATCAAACCGTCTGGAATGTAATGAAAATTTATTTTTAATTAAATAATAGTAAGTTAAATTTACTTATAAATTTTAAAATTATTATTATTATTATATAAAATAACCATATAGTTATTATGCATGAATTTATGTCATGGATTGCACAATCCAACTAAGTATGACAGCCAGATGGCTGAGATAATAACAGCATCAGTCTGGTGCTCTGAGAAACAAGTATAATTCTAGGCCTAGAACATCAGATATGATTCATAGTTTATCCCTAATATGTTGAGTCCTATTCCTCACAATTCAGCCATCCCATTGTGGGCCTGGCCAAATTGAAAAAAGACCTCTCAGTACCCACAGAGTGGAAAGAATAAACTACAGAAATTCAATTCAGTGAATAGTGGATTTGATACTAAATCCTCCCAACCCAAAGTTCAGACTGAACAACACTTAGGTCTGTTCAGAAATACTTATAAGTTTAATCACTGAGACTCAAAAGTTTAAACCTATAAAGTTTCCAGTCATTTACAGGTTGCTTCCAGACACTNTATTTATTTAATATTTATAAATGATAGTGGCAATTTTATGAGGGTTTTTATGGTAATTAAAAAAATAAAAGCGATGTGTAAGAGGTAGAGAATAGAATGCGACGTTCGATCTGCGCAGACTCAGAAGGTGATTTCGTTCTTTGATGGCAACATGAGTTTATGGAAAGTCGATCTGTCGCTTTCCCTCACCATGTTGACCTTCCTTATAGCTTAGTGACAACATCATCGTGAATTATTTTCTTTGTATATATTAAGGAAGTATACAATTAACAAAATATCAACAGGTGAAGACGATTAATTCAGCCAAGAATCGGCGACGAGTTCAAGTCAGGAGCAACACAACAACAACACAAGAACACAACGTTAAACAGATCGCAGCAAAAGTAACGTATCATACAGCGGAATTTTAAAGACGAATAACTAATTCTATACGAAATTAGCGGATATATTTGTTAATTATACAACCAGGTAAAATATTTATGATTTATTTTAACAGAAATCCGCTTGGTTATTGTTTGTTGGGGTGTTTCTAGAGCCCCATTAAAGTTCGCCCATAGAAGGTTGTGTGTGCAGAGCCTCACCATGCCGTCTTTGCAGAATGTCGGAGATTTAAGCTTATTGTTTTGAACCATATTTTCGTTATTTTAGTTTTTCTACTTGACTCGATAAAAACATAATCGATCAATTACGTTAAATAACTATAACAAGGAGTGTAATTTGTTAATTAATCAAGAGTAATACCGACCGAAACCGGCGTGTTTTTCCGCTTGGTTTTTGGTACACTCGAAGCCAATATGGCGGCTAAGGTAGAAACCAATCATTCCGAAAACGGACTGAGTTATGAAGAAGTCAATCAAAAGGATAACAGCACTTACGCTCAAGCCGTTGCTAATAGTAAATTGCGAAGTATCTCGGAAGGACAGAGTAGCCAGGAATCATCCGATAATAGAAATGATCCATTGGATTATGCATTGGCTAACCATACGGAGACTAGTGTAGAATCGGAAGAGGAGAAGAATAAAAAAGAATATATTGATGCACCCCCACCTAAAGTCAACCCCTGGACTGTTAATAAAAATGCAGCTCTTGTAATTAGTGGTAAGGCTAATCACCAGAAAGGATGCAAAGAACAGCATGAAGGTAAGCGAAACGAAACTTCACGTGTTCTGTAAATATGTACATTTCATCTATATTCAGGCATATGGTCTCCATTTTCACGTGTTTNAGTATATAATATAAATTAAATATGATAGATTTCTCTTGTTTAATAAAATATACAAACCGGTAATGAGTAATCGCTTTCAATTATAGAAAATAAATTACTTTAAAGCCCCTAAGGGGGTCAAACATGTTTTAATGAGGTTTCCTGTAGGAAAAATCACTTAACCAGATGGTGTAAATAATTTCATTTGTATTGTAGTCTAATCCTTTTAGAAACTAAGTAAGTAACTGAAATGTTATAAGACTTTTTAAAATTCTGATTATTTATTCTATGGAATAAGATTAATATCTAATGAATTTATCATTAGATATAAAATGCTAAAATTGGTAAAATATAATTGAAAATGCCTGTGATAAATAAATGTATATGTTAAATAAAAATAAATAAAAGAAATTTCTTGGAAAATTCGAAAAATCTTTTTTTTTTTTTTTTTTTAGGTCAATATATAGTATCTTTTATCAATTTTTTAAATAAATATAAATTATTGTAAATTCTTTTATAAATAATTTTTACATTACTCGTGTATAAAATATCTTCAGAACACTTTCGCACTACTTTTTACCGTGAATATGTTTTGCAATCATTTACTTGTAAACTTCTTAGATCATGTTTTATAAAGGGGAGGGGAAAAAAAAGTGAACATTTTTAGGATATTTAAACTTAAGTTTATATTATTCAAATGTATATAATATTTAAAATTTATTATTAAATATTTTTTTGTATAATTTTTAAATATAAGCTTACTTTATTTGTATCAATATAACATCTACAAGATAAATTCGTCTCTGCATTTTGTATCATAGATAAGAAAAATTTATGATAATTTAGTCTATAATATAAACTCGATTATTGCAATTAAGCATAAGCCTGATGAAAATATTTCATCGATTAAAACAAACGTATTTTTGTTAATTAATTAAACACATCTTTAATTAAACTAAAACTTTATCAAATGTATAAAATTATTATAAAACATTATTAAACGAGCCGATAAACTAATATAGATAAGCATTTAATCATTAAATATCCATATATTTTTATCTGACGAAAGTTATACGATAGGTTGCAGAAAGCACGTGGTTACCTTCGAACAAAACAACATGGCGGCCACCGATCACGTGGTAATTTTTCAAAGCCAAGAGAGAATAACGATTTAAAGCTACGAATTTATATAATAATTATTTATTTATTTAATATTTATAAATGATAGTGGCAATTTTATGAGGGTTTTTATGGTAATTAAAAAAATAAAAGCGATGTGTAAGAGGTAGAGAATAGAATGCGACGTTCGATCTGCGCAGACTCAGAAGGTGATTTCGTTCTTTGATGGCAACATGAGTTTATGGAAAGTCGATCTGTCGCTTTCCCTCACCATGTTGACCTTCCTTATAGCTTAGTGACAACATCATCGTGAATTATTTTCTTTGTATATATTAAGGAAGTATACAATTAACAAAATATCAACAGGTGAAGACGATTAATTCAGCCAAGAATCGGCGACGAGTTCAAGTCAGGAGCAACACAACAACAACACAAGAACACAACGTTAAACAGATCGCAGCAAAAGTAACGTATCATACAGCGGAATTTTAAAGACGAATAACTAATTCTATACGAAATTAGCGGATATATTTGTTAATTATACAACCAGGTAAAATATTTATGATTTATTTTAACAGAAATCCGCTTGGTTATTGTTTGTTGGGGTGTTTCTAGAGCCCCATTAAAGTTCGCCCATAGAAGGTTGTGTGTGCAGAGCCTCACCATGCCGTCTTTGCAGAATGTCGGAGATTTAAGCTTATTGTTTTGAACCATATTTTCGTTATTTTAGTTTTTCTACTTGACTCGATAAAAACATAATCGATCAATTACGTTAAATAACTATAACAAGGAGTGTAATTTGTTAATTAATCAAGAGTAATACCGACCGAAACCGGCGTGTTTTTCCGCTTGGTTTTTGGTACACTCGAAGCCAATATGGCGGCTAAGGTAGAAACCAATCATTCCGAAAACGGACTGAGTTATGAAGAAGTCAATCAAAAGGATAACAGCACTTACGCTCAAGCAGTTGCTAATAGTAAATTGCGAAGTATCTCGGAAGGACAGAGTAGCCAGGAATCATCCGATAATAGAAATGATCCATTGGATTATGCATTGGCTAACCATACGGAGACTAGTGTAGAATCGGAAGAGGAGAAGAATAAAAAAGAATATATTGATGCACCCCCACCTAAAGTCAACCCCTGGACTGTTAATAAAAATGCAGCTCTTGTAATTAGTGGTAAGGCTAATCACCAGAAAGGATGCAAAGAACAGCATGAAGGTAAGCGAAACGAAACTTCACGTGTTCTGTAAATATGTACATTTCATCTATATTCAGGCATATGGTCTCCATTTTCACGTGTTTATAACTATTATTTGCTTTATAACCGTTGCGAATTTGCTTATATTTTGAGTAATTTTCGTTTTAATTTTCTTATTTTTTTTTAATTATTTTTATTTTTATTATTATTATTTTTTAAATAGAAACTTTTAAGAAAATGAATCAACTTACTATTTTTATTTTAAACAGTGGTTGGTTAGGTCTTGGTTTATATTGAATTTTTATGTAATTTAATATAAATGAAAGCGTTTATAATATTAATAAACGCTTTCATTTATATTAAATTACATAAAAATTCAATAAGTTATAAGTTGAGCTTGTTTATTAGCATTTAAAATTTATAAAATATGATTTATATTGAATATTGAATATTTTTGAAGTTTTAAAAATGAATTTTTTTTTTATTTTTTAAAGTAAATTTTTTAATGTTAGATTTGACTTAAATTTGTGGTACATGCTCACTCTTTATTGGCAGTTGAAGATTAAAAAAAAAAATGTTAATTTGTGCTTGCGCGCTTTGTTCGTAAACTTTTTTTCTAGACTGTTTTTATTGTATATTAATGTTTATGAATTTTAAAAGTATGTTCACAATTGACATCTACATTAATGAAATGTGCATGTTATAAAAGTTTTAACTGATGTATAACACAATTAGAAGGTGATTATCTGGTTATGTTATACAACTACTGAAAGTGCTTATGATAACATGCAAATTTACATTAGATATAAAGCAGCCAAAGTTTTAACTCTTTCGTCTCATAATTTAATTGGTAAATATCGTAGCGTTACATTTTTTTCTTCATTTTTATTGAAATTTTAAAATATTAGTTTGTAGTCATAACTTTTTATTAAAAACTGGAACTATTCATTTCTTTTTGCTGAACTTTTAAGTTAAACAGTATTATTTTGAATTATCCATATATTTATAAAAATCAATGTAGAATTGTTTTTTGGACAAGTTGCAAAAAGCATATGCTTTTAGATTGGCTACTTGTTTAAAATTTTTAATTTTATAAATTTAATCATTGAAAATATAGTTCTTAAGTTGTAGCTGATAAGATATGAATTGTATTTAGCAGGTTTGGTTAGGTTGCATCTATATCAATAATCATACTTTGTTATAAGTGCTGTTTAATAATTCAGAGTAACTTTATCTTCACTATTGCATGAAATCAAAATAGTAATACTTTTTTGTTGTATACTGTGATGATAACATAGTATATTTTTTCTTACATATATAAGAAAATGAATGCTTTGTAATTTATTATGTAGAAAAATTCCATATTCAAATATCTTAAATATATCTGAGATTATTTTTTTATAAATTAGTAGCCAAGNCTAGAAGCGACTATTTAATATACCTTATAGGTATACAGTAGTATGTTCACAATTGACATCTACATTAATGAAATGTGCATGTTATAAAAGTTTTAACTGATGTATAACACAATTAGAAGGTGATTATCTGGTTATGTTATACAACTACTGAAAGTGCTTATGATAACATGCAAATTTACATTAGATATAAAGCAGCCAAAGTTTTAACTCTTTCGTCTCATAATTTAATTGGTAAATATCGTAGCGTTACATTTTTTTCTTCATTTTTATTGAAATTTTAAAATATTAGTTTGTAGTCATAACTTTTTATTAAAAACTGGAACTATTCATTTCTTTTTGCTGAACTTTTAAGTTAAACAGTATTATTTTGAATTATCCATATATTTATAAAAATCAATGTAGAATTGTTTTTTGGACAAGTTGCAAAAAGCATATGCTTTTAGATTGGCTACTTGTTTAAAATTTTTAATTTTATAAATTTAATCATTGAAAATATAGTTCTTAAGTTGTAGCTGATAAGATATGAATTGTATTTAGCAGGTTTGGTTAGGTTGCATCTATATCAATAATCATACTTTGTTATAAGTGCTGTTTAATAATTCAGAGTAACTTTATCTTCACTATTGCATGAAATCAAAATAGTAATACTTTTTTGTTGTATACTGTGATGATAACATAGTATATTTTTTCTTACATATATAAGAAAATGAATGCTTTGTAATTTATTATGTAGAAAAATTCCATATTCAAATATCTTAAATATATCTGAGATTATTTTTTTATAAATTAGTAGCCAAGTTCCAAATACATTAAAAAGTTGGAATTGAATTTTATTTAAAAAATAAATTATAATAAAAATGGAATTATTGTTTTCTATTCATTACTGAAGGAACTTGCTAAGACATGTTTTTATAGACCATCTACTAAAACTCTGGTTTCTGAAATATCTGTGCGCCTCTGGTAGTATTTAGTATATGTATACAGCAGATAGTATGTCGAATGTATCCAAATTAATATTGTAGCCAATAAAATATGTATATGTCAATTTTAATTTTACGGTATAAAGCATATTATACATTTAAAACCATCTTTTAAGTTTAAATCATATAGGGCACAATAGCCTGTCCAGTAGCTTATCCATCCAGTCTGGATTAGATAAATATATCTATAATAAACATCTGAACGCCCATTGAGTATATAATGAAGTAACCAACAATTGCCTGAAAGATTGGGCTAGAATTTGTCAAATTATAGCCTGATCTTTCAGGCGATCATTGGTTATTTCATGATAAAAATGTCATAATACAAACGTAAGGAAAGATTTACAATTTAAGCATATTAAATACATTTTTACCATGATATTTTGACTGAAGTTCTACTTTTAGTTTAAATATTTATCAGGGTTAATCATTGGATTTTATTAATTCTTAATACAGTTAGTTGGGGATATTTAGTTTCAGATTTTGGAAGTTGTGCCTTCTATAAGAAGTTTTTTAACACCTTTCATAAATATTTGAAATATAAACTCTCTCATATTGATTCTAATTACGGTTATTTATAAACAATGTTTCCAAAAATGGAGTAAAAAAATAAGAGTGTCAACGAAAGTTTTAAATATCATCAATATACTATACCTTATTGGAATTTTGTGCTATTTTTATGCATTCTTGTTTATTAAATAATAATACTCTAATTTTATTTAGAATTCTTTATATAATAAATTACTTATTCCTGTTGCATACTCAATTTGATTTTGTACACTACTGTTAGTATTTTAAATGCCCATTTACAGTTGGTGTTAATAAAACATGTTTTTAGATAAGACCTATTTTTTATTTGTTATCCAGAAATAATTTAGTAGTCAAATTTGCCACATGCAATAATTGTAGATAAACTGTAATAAATAGATAATTTTCAGCTGCATTATTTATGAGATTTAAAAAGAATGCATCTAGAATTTAATTTCATTAAAATTAGAATTGACAAATGAAGAGGAAAGAATACTAATAAGTTAATATTCTCGTTTCTTCCATTATGACCTTAAAATTGTATATACAAGTTGATGTGATAAATATCATTTTAGAGCTACTAAATTACCAAGTATCTGAATAAATCTTAATTTTAGGCAAATTCTATGTATGTAATTAAATAGCTGAAAAAAATTGGAATTGAAAATTAACAGGCAAATAAGTCAACTCAAGTGTAGTAGTTTAAAATCAATTTCTCTTGGAATATTTTTGGATCTTCTAATCTGATATCAACTAGTTTTTAAATATATAGATATAGAATAGTTTTAATTTTATGGAATATTAAATAGCAGCTGATTTTAGATTGGGAGATCTGAAAACATACAGTAAAATAAACTGTAACTCATATACTTGTTTCATATGACAATTCCATAATATATTCTTAAAGTAAAAGTAGATATTATGTATATAAACCAACATCAGCTAACCCAATAAACATTAAAGCAACCAAAGCCGAATTAATGGGCTAGAAGCGACTATTTAATATACCTTATAGGTATATTAAATAAAACAAATTTCTGATCTGTGAAACTTTGTTGCAGTATCTGTAAAGCCAGTCTAAAAGTCCTGATAATAGAAAATATGAACTAGTAGACGGAAAATTTATATTATAATAATAAGATAACTTTCAAGATAACTGTCTTTGTTGTTGTAGAAAAGAGGTCGGTTGTATATGGAAAAAGTTTATAGTATAAACTAGCTTACCCGTCGCGCATTGCTGCGATCTCATAAGAAACGAAATTCAAGCAAACTCATTATGATAAAATTAAGTTTACATTTTATCATTTTTATTGAAACTTATTATTATTCATTCATTTTCATTGGGAAAACATTTCAAAGTGTCGTTTCAATTTTATTTATTTATTGGAGTGCTTTGTGGATACATGATATTTTTTGTTTTTCCGTCTGGTGCATACACAAATAAATCGGAAGGTTTTCCGACGCGTGAGTTGGCCACATACAGTTGTCCATGTGAGAAGCACGGTTTCTTTAAATTTAGCCTGCATACTCGCAGAGATTGTTAGAAGCGCGATATTCCCCATTTTTATATATNAAAATTTATATTATAATAATAAGATAACTTTCAAGATAACTGTCTTTGTTGTTGTAGAAAAGAGGTCGGTTGTATATGGAAAAAGTTTATAGTATAAACTAGCTTACCCGTCGCGCATTGCTGCGATCTCATAAGAAACGAAATTCAAGCAAACTCATTATGATAAAATTAAGTTTACATTTTATCATTTTTATTGAAACTTATTATTATTCATTCATTTTCATTGGGAAAACATTTCAAAGTGTCGTTTCAATTTTATTTATTTATTGGAGTGCTTTGTGGATACATGATATTTTTTGTTTTTCCGTCTGGTGCATACACAAATAAATCGGAAGGTTTTCCGACGCGTGAGTTGGCCACATACAGTTGTCCATGTGAGAAGCACGGTTTCTTTAAATTTAGCCTGCATACTCGCAGAGATTGTTAGAAGCGCGATATTCCCCATTTTTATATATTTTTTTTAATCCTTAATAATTTTGATTATTTAATTGCTCCTTCCACTCTTCCTTGGCGTGTTGTGA